CCACCCATCCACCCACCCATCCATCCATCCCCTCCTCTATCCATCCACGCATCCACCCATCACCCATCCGCTCATCCACACATGCAGCCGGCCATGCGTCCTTGCAGCCCCCAACGTTAACTGAGTCTCGGGCTCTGCGCTAGGTGCTGGCAAACGGGGCAGGATCACTCAGGAGGGGAGGGATGAGTAGAGACTGCTGCCTGCTTGAGGTCTGGTGAGTCCTCGCTGCCCGGGAAGAGCTTCCTGTGCCTGCTTCCTCCTCTGCATCGTCTCAGCCCCACTTCACATTCCCTCCCCGCTGCAGCCAGCTGCCTCCTTCCCGCCTGTGGATTCCCAGGCCCTGAAGTTTTTCCTCACTGCCAGCAAAACCCAGGGATCCCAAGCCAGTTGTGGTGGGCACGCCTGTCATCCAGCACTCTGGGAGGCTGAGACAGGAGGATCACAAGTTCAAACCCAGCCTGAGCAACATAATTGGCTGGATCCTGTCTCAAAAGAGAAAAGAAAAAGGGTCGGGGATGTAGCTCAGTGTGGAGACCCTGGGTTCAATTCCCAGAGTCACATAAAGAAGACGTGGAACTCAGCCTGGGCTCAGTGTGTCGTGGATTTCCCTTCCGTGTTCCCGGGGGACTCTCCGCAGGGTCCAGGTCCCAGGTCTTCGGGGCTCCTAGGAACCTGACCCAGGCCCTCTCTGGGAGGAGGGGAGAAAGGCTGGCTCCTCCCCTGGCCCTCCAAGGCCCGCCCCAGGTGAGGGGACTTGAGACCCGTCCTGCGCGGGTCCCAGGTCCCTCTGCTGCGTCTGCTCACCCTGCACTCATGGTCCATTGCTGTCTTGGTCCGCTTTGCCTGTGTTCTCTTTTACCTGCTTCTACCTTCATGGGGTCACTTTTTATTTGTGTCTCCCAGGGCCGGGGATTTAGCTCAGCAGCACAAGCGCCTTCCTGGTAAGCACAAGGTCCTGAGTTCAATTCCCGATACAAAAAAAAAGAGAAAATATCATTTATTTGTGTCTTCCACGTGCTGTGCTCAAGAGGCGCAGCTGTACCCTGGCCGCCTGGGGTCCCCAGGAGTGGAGAGTTTGCTCAGCTCACAGGTGGGGACGCCTCACAAGGGAAGGGCACGTGGGCTGAGGAGGCAGCCGAGAAAGAGCTCGGGGACAGGGAGCTGCTGTCCTTGTGGCTACAAGCGGGGTCAGACAGGAAGGTGGAGAATCCCGCACACCGAGCCCAGGAGCCCGCATTGTGTTCAGGTTCTAAGCGGGAAGTGGGGTGCTCAGTCCTGAGTTCCCAGGACTCAGATTGAAGGGGTCCCGAAGAGGAAGAGCTTCCATCATCCCATTCTGGCCAAGCTGGCCCAGGTAAGACTGCCCATAAGAGTTCTGGAAGGTGCCAGCCTCCAAGGCACAGGTCTGAAATCTCAGCTACTCAGGAGGCTGAGGCAGGAGGATCAAAATCTTGAGGCCAGCCTGGGAAACTTATCCAGAGCCTTCTCAAAATAAAATGTTCAAAGGGCTGGGGAGAGCCAGGCTTGGTGATCCATGTCTGTAATTGCAGCTGGGAGGCTGAGGCAGGATGATTGCAAGTTTGAGCTCAACCTGGCTAGTGATTTATTCAACTAAGACTTTGCTGCAAAATTTAAAACAAATTTAAAACAAACAAACAAGCAAAGAAAAAGGCTTGGACATAGCTCAGTGGTAGAGCTCTTGCTTAGCATGCACAAAGCTCTGGCACAGAAAGAAAGAGCGAGAGATTCAAAACCAAAAATCTCCGGAAGGGGCTGGGGATTTAGCTCAGCGGCACAGAGCCTGCTTGGCAAGCACAAGGTCATGAATTCGATTCCTGGTACCGGGGGAAAAAAAAAAACAAACTCCGGAAATGGGCAGGAGGCATCCTACCTGCTGGCCATGCCGATCCTATGACCCAGCACACATCAGCAAAGCTGATTTGGATTGAAAGATCTCTGCAGAGAATATAGCCACAGCACGCCAGGGATACAAGGGTCCCAGTCGCCCCGATGGGAAGGGGAAGGAGCCCCTGGGACCGAGCTCCAGCGCCGGGGCTCAGGTGGATGAAATGCATTTTCAGCTTGGAGGATGGGACGCCAACCTCACGCGTGTGTCAATGCTCTGTGGTGGGACTGGACATCGAACCCGGGGCTCAGGCTCGACAGCCAGGCCCTCGGCCACCTCGGCCACCGAGCTGCAGCCCCAGTCTGTACCTGGGGAGCTTAAATCCTGAGCCAAGCGCGAGTCTGATAACTCACAACCCCAGGCCCAAAAGGAACGAAACTGTTTGAGCGCCTGGCACCTTTCAGCCTTGTGGTCCAAGCCAGACACCTGTTAAACAGGGCACCTCCGGGGCCCTGGTGGGGTCACGCAGTTTGTGAGTCGAGCGCCTCCCATTGAGGAGGGGAAGGAAGCAAGAAGGCTAAGCAGCTACGGCAGCGAGGGGCGAGGAAAGAGAAACACAATAGAAAGGTCAGAGAGAGACAGTGAGCTGCGCGTGGTGGCTCACGCCTGTCATCCTACCACTCGGGAGGCTGAGGCAGGAGGGTCGCCAGGAGTTTGAGGCCAGCCTGGCCTATACAGTGAGACCCTGAATCAAAAACAAAAAAGAACCACAGAAGTAAGAAAGGAGAGGACAAGGCAGGGGAGAAGAGGAGAGTGATAGAAGAGGGACAGAGGGGAGGAGACAGTGACAGCTGGTGACCAGAAGGCACGAGGCCTTGGAGAGAGAAGTGCCCCAGCCTCCTTCCTCCACCATGGAGTACAGGGGTCAGCGTGGTCCCCGAGCTGCCCGAGGTCCCAGGTACCTCAGGCCAGGATGCCCTCCCTTCTCAGCAGCAGGAACTTGGTTTGAAAACCAAAATCTTGGGGTCCCCAGGGGAAGAGAAGAAGGAAAGTTTTTAATTACTTTATTTTTTGAACAGATAATACAAGCACATGGTCCAAAATCCAAAAGGTACAAAATACCAACAACTGCCACCCCTGCGATCTGATCCTGAGTGTCGGCCAGGGACGGTCGGGGCAGACAGGAGCCTACAGACAGAGACAGTCTTTTAACATTTGTTTCATTTTATTGTATTGTCATAGGGTCTCACTGTGTAGCCCAAGCTGTCCTTGAACTCATGATGATCCTTCTGCCTCAGCCTCCTCGGTTCTTGGATGACAGGCGTGTGGACCGCCACACTTGGCTAGTATTGTCCATCTTAATGACAGTATAGCACTCCACCATTTGGATGTACAGACATTGCTTGATTTGTGATGATTCCAATAAGCATTTTTTTTTTTAACTTTACGGTCACGTGGGAGGGATCCATAGAAATTTCTGAAATACTTTACATTTTCCATCTTGATCTCTGCCCAGGCTGGCAACAGGTGGTCTGAGACGCCTTCATGAAGTGGAGCAGTGGCAGTCACTGCGGCTGCTGGTCACCACTGATATTCTCCAGTGCTCTGCGTGGCTAAGCTCGGGTGTGCTGCAGGTTATATGCATTAAAAGTATTTCCAGCATATGACCGGTTTGCAGGGATATGAACCCCTTTACAAGGTGAGGATCCTCTGTACTTTTTTTTGTGTGTGTGTGTGTGTGTGTGTGTGTGTGTGTGTGTGTGTGTGACGGAATCTCGCGATGTTTCCCAGGCTCAAGCAATCCTCCTGCCTTTGCCTACTGGGTAGCTGGCACTACAGGTGCATACCACCATACCCAGTTGTGAGACTTTTCAAACAATGCGTAGTTTGAAGAATAATTATAAAGTGAACACCTATGCAACCATGCTCCAGGTCAAGAAGTTAAACATCAAGACTAGGGGGTAGCTCAGGGCTAGGACACTTACCTAGTACATGGGAGACCTTGGACTGGGTCCCCAGCACCAAAAAGGAAGGAAGGAAGGAAGGAAGGGAGGGAGGGAGGGAGGGAGGGAGGAAGGAAGGAAGGAAGGAAGAAAGGAAGAAAGGAAGGAAGAAAGGAAGGAAAGAAGGAAAAGAGGGAGGAAGGTAGGGGGGAAGGAAGGAAGGAAGGGGCGGTGCAAGGAATGGAACCCAGGGTCCTGTGCACGCCAGGCAAGTGTTCCCACTGAGCTACATCCCCAGCCCCTCCTCCCTTTTTTGAGAAAAGGTCTCACTATGTCACCCAGTCTGGCCTTGAACTCATGGCGAGATCCTCCTGCCTCAGCCTCCCAAGTGCTGGGATGAGAAATGACAGGTGTGCACCGCTACGCTTGACACCTCGCTTTTCTTTATAAACATCTCTAACGATACAGGTTAGCCTTTTCTTCTTTTTTGTTGTCCCAGGGGTCACACCCAGGGCCTTAAACACCCTGGGCGAGTGCTCCCAGTGCTCTGCCCGAGCTGTGTCCAGCCCTCTCCTGTCTTCCCCGTCACGGATTTTCCTGTTTACAGGAGGAGAGCGGTGGTGTCCTGCGTCTTCCTCCCGGGGCTGTGGTCACTGTCACGATGCGAGCTGTCCCCGGCCGAGGGGCGTCTGGGTGCTTCCAGTCTTCCATATCCAAACAAGGCTGCAATCAGTAAAACACCGCCCTTTACACACATGCAGGTTCCCATCCAGGGCGAACCCCCAAACGCCAAGCTACCAGGTCAGAGTGGTGCATCTCAAACTCTGAGACCCCAAGCGGACAGCTGCTAGGGGACAGGCAGGTACGGGCGCCCTGCCCTTCCCTCCACGGCGGGCGGTGGGTCACGCTGCCTGCCCGGTCAGTGACACGAGGCCTGCAGCAGGGCGGCCCCGGGGCCCGCTGGGCGACGGGGCTGGGGGCTCCGGTGCCATAGCCACACACGGGACGGGCGGGTCCCGCAGGCTGGCCCCGCGGAGCGGCCCGCCAGCCCTGGGCCCCGACCCCTCGCCCTGGGCCTCCTCGCCGAGCTGGAAAATGAGGAAATGGCCCTCCCCGCCCCCGCGTCCTCCCGCCGGGCCAGGCGGTGTGACAGGCACGTCCACAGGCCAGGCCCACACCGCGGGCTGGGAAAGCCGACCCGGAGGAGCCGAGCCGCCGCGCACGGCAATGGCCGTCTTGCAACTTCCTCTCCCGGTTGAGACACAGGGAGCGGCTCGGGCGGCCTGGGCCGCGGGGGCCCTCGGGGAGCCCAAGCTGTGGCCACAGCCCTGGGCGGCTCTTGAGAGCAGGTGGACCATCAACAACTACTGACCTGCTGTGGTCTCCTCGGGCCAGGGCGCCCCAGGGGCGGCCCACCCTCAGGGCCTGCTCTTGGGGGACAGAGGGTGACAGATACCACATGAGCCATGTTAGGAGGTGACAGTCGCTGAAGGAGGTCACAGTGGGGCGGCCCCTGACAGAAAAGGGCGCAGCCATCATTACTGGACGCCTTTGCTTCCTTCTTCTTCTTTTTGTTTTTTTTTGAGACAGGGTCCCAATATGTAGTCCAGACAGCCTTAAACCTACTACATAGCCCAGGCTGGCCTTGAACATGTGGGGATCCTCCTGCCTCAGCCTCCTGAGTGCTGGGATGACAGGCGTACGTCACCATGCCTGGCTTTGGGGCACCTTTGAGCGAACACTGGCGACAGACAGGTGGGGGCAGCATGGCAAGTTGTGGAAGACGAGTTCCGGGCAGGGTGGGGAACCAGGCTGTCCCAGGCCCTGCAGGCAGCCAGGCGAGGAGGGCCCGCCGGGTAAGGCCGTGGAGGTCAGACGGCACTCAACTTAGGTTAAGGGGTTCCATCAGGTGTGTCCTTTCTCACCCAAATCCCAAGCTGGGGCGTTATCGTCCTCCTGCCCCCAGTACAGACGAGGCAGCTGGGCCTCCGAAGCGGCTTGAGCCAGGCACTGTGTGGTGCACACCTGTGGTCCCAGCATTCTAAGAGGCTGAGGCAGGAAGGTCACAAGATCCATCTCAGCCTGGGTAACTTAGTGACTTAGTGAGACCCTGTCTCAAAATACTAAAAAGAGCTGGGATGGAGCTCAGCGTGAGGGCCCTGGGTTCAGTCTGTCACTGAAGAGAAAGGCACTTGTGACTCAGAGCGGCTCAGCCAACCCAGGGCCCGGAGAAGTTGAAGCCAGGGCAGCTGAGGCCCAGGCCTCGCCTGGCCCCCTCGACGGGTGACCCCAAGCGCGCAGCATGCACCTGGGAAGCCTGGGCTGAGTCCCTGCTGTCCCTGCTGGGACCCCTGCCCCTCCCGCCGTCGGGGCTGCAGGCCTTCAAGGAGCCACTTCACAGAAGCCAGAGAGGAGGCCGCGACCTGGGGCCTCAAAGTCTCCCTTGGGCCCCGCCCGGCCCAGGCTGGAGCCCAGAGCTTCGAGGCCCGAGCTGGACCGGCGCAGACCCGGCGGCCTCCCCTCCTCCACGGGCTGCCCCGCCCCCGCCCGCGCAGCCGCCGCTCCGTTCCCAGAACCTCTTTCTCAACCTCCGCAGCCAGCGCCGCCCAGCCCTCCACGCCCTCGGCCTCGGTCCTTCCAGGGCTGCCTCCCGGCTGTGCCTCAGTCTCCCCACCCGCCGCGCCACAGCGCCCGTCCCCCCCCTCCTCCCGCCGGGCCTCCGAGGCGCACAGCCCTGGCTGGCAGGCCCTGCTCGAGTCCTGGAGCTGTGATCGAAGCCCCCCGCCACAGGCCGGCCCCTGCTGACCAGGCTGTGGATGGGGAGCTCACCTCCCGGCCACATCACTCAGCCTCCTGCACCTCAAACCCACCGCCACCCACAGCGACTTCCGCCTGTCACCACGGCAGCCCACACTCCGGCTGCTCGCCGAGGACGGCACTACCTACCGCGCCCCACTCCACTCCCTGGAGCCCCCTGCCCCCGCAGTCTAGACACCCTGGGTCTCCGCCCATGGCCTGGTTGTACGGCCCCACCAGCTCCTTCCCCTCCCAGGCTCCAGTACCCTCATCTGCAGCAGAGAGGCCTGGACAGCACTGCGCTAAGCACAGGATACAGGTGATCTTTGCCTGTATACAGCAGGGGTCCAATTAGTGCACACTCTCCCATCAGCCTCCCCAAAGGCTCCCAGAGCCCCACGAAGACAGGGAGCCTAGCTCTGAGGCCTGGATTCGAGTCCTACCCCTGCCCCCGAGCTCACTGGCTGCTCAAGTCAGTGTCCATACCTGCAGAATAGGGACAATGGGACATGGGCCTGGGTTCTAAAAACCAGATGAGAAAGTACCAGGGTGGCTCGTGTGATGCACCTGTCCTCGGCCCCGCAGAGCCCACGGTGAGCCTGTCCTGGTCTCCCAGGAAAGCTGGAATTCAGGGTCCCAAGGGATCCCAGGCACCGGCCACATCCCAGCCTCTGTCTGCTGGACAGGCCCAGGGCCAAAGCTGCATGGCTCTCTTACCCTCCCGGAAGGTCAGGTGTGGGGTAGGGACCCTGTGCTAGGTGAGCAGCATTCTTTAAAAAAAAAAAGAAGGAAAACTAAGAATTCTTGAGCTCCTACCACGAGCTCAGAACATTGTCTTGTTTTGTTGAGACAGGATCTCATAATGTAGTTCAGGCTGGCCTCTAACTCGTGGCGATCCTCCTGCCTCAGCCTCCTGAGGGATGGGACTACCGGTGTCTACCACCACATCCAGCATTGATGACATCTCTTTATGTAGCCCACGCTGCTCTCAAACTTCAGATCCTCCTGCCTCAGCCTCTCTGCCTGGCTCTGGCACACTGTCTCATCACTAACCCTATGGACAAGAATTATCTCCACTTTACAGATGAAAATCGGAGCTCAGAGTGGATTTTCCACCTGTCCAGGGCCGCACACCTGGGATCTGACCAGGTTTGTCCTCTCCCAAAGACTGTGCTTAGCCCAAAGCCCGAGGTCTGGGTGCAGGACCAGTGAGGGGGGTGCTGGGGTCAGAGCTGCGCAGAGGTCCCCGCTGGAGGTCGTGCGGCCCAGGGTGCTGACTCGGGAGGCCGGGCTGGGAAGGGGTTAACTGCGCAAAGGCCTGAGTGAATCACAGGCTCCACAGCCAGCGATGGAAATTCCCTGTGCATGGCGTGTGGTCACCCAGAAAAGGGAAACGGTGCTTCTCGGAGCAGAGGACGGCGGGGGCCGAAGCCCGGGAGCAGATGCTTGCCGGGTGGGGCTGGCGAGGGAGGCCTGGCCTGTGGGCCTGTTCAGGTGCTAGGTGGGAAGTGGAGGTGAGGAGTTACCAGGCTGGGCCAGGCCTGGTCATGTCATGGTGTGTCCATGGGCCTTGACAGGTAGGTAGGAGTTCCCCAGGCCAGAACAAGAAAGGGGCTCCATGCCATGGGAGCTTCAAAGTCAGGGCATGAGAGTGTGACTCAGTATGGAGCATCTGTCCAGCCCACTATTCCTGTCCTTTGGGGCCCACCCGAGGAGCACCTCTCTATCCACGTCTCTCTTTTGTCTTTTTCTGTTTTTTTTTGAGACAGGGTCTTACTATATAGTTCAGGCTGGCCTTGAACTCACTATGTAGCAAAAGCTGACCTCAAACTTGCAGCAATTGTCCTGTCTCAGCCTCCTGGGTGCTGGGATTATAGGTGTTCACCACCATGCTGAACTTTTCCGTTTCCTCCTGGAAGTTCTCAGGACTTCATGCTCACTTGCTGTCCTCACAGGTCTATGTGGTCCCTGGGGCAGGGGCTGAGTCCTAGACATAGAGCCGCCTGCACCCAGCACCGAGCTGGCACCACATCTCTGGTCGGAGTTTTCGACAGTCTCAGACTTGGACTCTGAGGCTGAGGCAGGCCAGCATTCTGGTCTCTGCCAGCCAGGGCCCAGCTTGGGGCGCTCCTCAGCCAGGAGGTATCCAGGGGAAGGGACGGGCAGGGTAGCAGGAGATCCTGGGATGCACGGCCAACTTCTTGCTAAGCCTGGGGCGGCTCTGCCCCTGCCCTGTCCCTGTGCTGGCCAATGCCATCCACCCAGGAGGACACTGAGGCACAAGACGGACCCAGGAGCAGTCAGAAGAGACAGTAGGGGCTGGGGATTTAGCTCAGTGTCAAAGCACCTGCCTGGCAAGCGCAAGGTCGTGAGTTCGGTTCCCGGTACCGGAGAAAAACCAAAAAAACAGAAGAGACAGTAGGGCAGGGATCTTAGATTCTCCTGATGAAGTCTAAGCTCTCAGGCCATACGCTCCTAGCTGTGTGGGCTTAGGCACAAGGCTTCCTCTCCAAGCCTCAGTTTCTCCTTAATGACAGGGACAGTGGGAAGGGGTTTTTCTGAGGACAGAACAGACGGATGTGAACATTCCCCTTGGGACAGAGGCGAGGAGACGATCTACCAGCAGGGACGGCCTGAGCGCCCTGCTGCCCGTTTTTGGGGCCTGCTGCGGCACCCCTGGACCCTGCCCGGCCTCCCGGCCTTGTGTGTGCCCCACGGGATCCCGACGCAGATTCTGCCGGCCACTCTGAGTGCAGCCCAGAAGCCCGAGCACCCAGCTCTCCTGACCCCACGTGTCCACCGTGAAGGTCCAGCAGGGCCCAGCAGCAGGGCGAGGCGGCGGCCACGGCTGGAGCCTTTCCAGGCGCGAAGGGGAACTGAGAACTGTGGGAATGCGGCCGGCGGCCAGGGCGGGCCGGGCCGGAGGGAGGGGGCTGCTCCCGGGAGCACAGACGGGTGGGGTCCCAGGGCGAGCTGCAGGGGACCCCGGGCAGGTGGCCGCAGGGGCGGGGGTGACGTGAGGGGCCTGTGGGGCGTCCAGGGCCAGCTGGGCCTTGGCAGGTCGGCCAGGCGCGGGGGGGGGGAAAGCGGAAGCGCGGAGGGCAGGGATGGAGTGGGAGTGGGGGCGGGGGGCTGGAGCTGCCTGGGCCGCAGCCACCCCGCTCCTCCTGGTTTCGGTTTGTAAATAGCTGCCGGCTCTGTGCGGGTGGGACGGGCCCGTCCTGTGGTGGCCGGTGTCCAGGGTGGCCCAGGTCTGGGGGGAGGGGACAGACACTCAAACCTGGGCCTTGAGGCCCCTGGGGCAGCAGGCCAGGCCAGCTGTGGCCTGAGGGGGCCTCCGTGGCCCTGCCCTGGGCAGCCCGACCTGCGTCACTGAGGTAATGCAGCGGGGCCCCAGGGGCTGCAGAACTTGATGACTCGGGCACAGGGGCTCATTTATTTATAACCGGGGCTCCGCACCCTGAGCAGCTGCTGGGCTGCCAGCTCAGCACTGGGCGGCCTCGGCACAGGCTGGCGAGGGCCAGGCTGGCCTGGCGGCCCCTCCGCCTGCACCTCAGGGGTCGAAGGATCCCCAGGCCCCTTGGGCTGGGACCGGTCCCTGCACCGGGATGGGAAGCTCTCGGGACGGGGAGGGCATCTCTGAAGCGCGGGGACCCAGGCGGCGCGGAACTCCGCGACAGGCGGTCTCAGGGTGCGGGCCGGCCCGCTGCAAGGGGCCAGGGTGTCGGCAACCGAACCAG